CACCAAAAAATGGTCCTTAGGTGCTTTTTATTAACAGCCAAAAAAGCTCAAAGTCACAAGGATTTACATAAAGAAAACAAAACCTATAGGACTGGTACCTCTCTTGCCACAGTCACACTACTTCCCTAAACACTTGTGGCCAGGGGTTTACATGTTAAGCCCCTCCCCATAGGACAATCCACTATTTATACCCCTAACCAATGTCATTCTTATCTACAAACACATTCACAATGCAAGGCAAATTACCCAAACACAACAAATCAAATAGGTCAACATATTCTATCTTTCTGACCACAGAAACCTTAAACAATAACATTTTTATACTTGCAAGAAAATTGCCGCCCATGCACTACATGGTATACTCCAATTGAGCACAGGTGTTTTCACTGATTGAGCCTCTACTTAAGGCTGCTTCTTTCTGTTGCTCTGTTTGGCCTTCACAACCTTGAACGAGAGGGTAAGCAGGTTACTTGTATATGACTTCCATTAAATCTGTTTTGAACAAACAATGACTTTTATTTTATCAATGTCCAGCTAAGTTATTAATGTGTTTCCCTCAGTGTGTCTTTTACCATGCCCCTATGCCAACTGTGATGAAGGCTTCTTCTTCACAGTGGACATTGTACTACAATATAATAATATTACAACACAAATGCAGAACATTATAAATAAGACACATGTATAGTAATAAGAAATGTACAGTGAAATTCAGGAACAAAGCCAAAGTGGTGTTCTTTTGCACAGTATAGTATTGCACAGGTTATTGTAGGTATAGTCCAAATTGCACAGTTTAGGCCTAATAATGGGGTGTTAAGGGGTCTTTAAGAGGGGTGAAATAAGTCCAAGGGCAAGTCTAGAGTGTTGTTAGCTATTGTAGATATTTTGTTTTGTGTAGTGCTGCAGATAAAGAGTAACTACTGCTACTTTCTACTAAGTGCCAAAATAAAACGCATTGTTATTTTATAAAACAATTAGATTATTTCTAGCATTATTTAATTGAACAAATCAAATGTCAAACTGAACACAAAAAGCACAACAAAAGAATGATGGTTACATTTAAAGTGCAGTTTTATATTGATAATCTATTTCAATCATCTCTGAAAATTCCTGAGTGCAGTAGAGCAGTCTTTTGTGATAAGCACATAACAGAAGACTGCGGTAAAACAAACCTATATAGTCAGTTGTTTCTACTTGTATGTTTTGCTACGTATTCTTCTTTCTGTGTCTTTGTGTGCACCACATATACCAAAGCAAATATCTCGTATGTGTTAACCTACTTGGGAATGCAACCAATTCTGATAACTTTAAAGACTCTTGCTTTTATCTCTGAATCTTCCATTTGTGCACTACCACACCAGACTCTCATGATGGATTTAGAAGATGACACCTCTGTGTTAACAACCTTGAAGTCCTTCAATTCCTTCATCAGCCAGACTGAAGCTCCACAGCGGCTGTCAGAGGGCTCAGCGGGGAGTGGGAACCTGCATAGTCAATACAAACGCAGCATGGAGGTACGCAGAAGCTGACGGCATCAACACTAAGCTGTGTGAAGGCGGTATTAAGATGCGACCTTGTTCACTTACTGACTTGTCTTTCCATTTAGTTGTTGGAAGCCGGAGAGAGGGTTCACTCCAATAATCGCTATCTTCAGCTGGACGGGGAGAAGAAGCAGATGGAGCTGAGTCACAAGCGAGCTCGATATGAACTTGAGAAGGTCGCTTCTGACAGCGCACGAGACTTGGAGGTACACACTGCGCCCATTGTTATACAATATATAGCAAGTATATGACTAAATATACAGTGGTATAGGAATAAATACAATTTTAAATGCTGAATTGCACAGTTTTAAAGAGTTTTCTGCTTATGATGATAATTACAGTTTTTTTCGATTGCTAAAACACATTTTTTGAAGGCAGTGCTTATTTTCTCTAAACACAATTCACAAAACCACACACGAAAAGTGCAAAACACCTCATGTATCCTGCAAGCTGAAGCACTGCACTCAAAACTAGATAAACACTTACCAAAATAAACTTTTCTCACCAAACGGCACACTCTTCATTTTTAGTAGAAGACACTTGGTCCAACCAACTACACACTGGTGCTCAATCTAAAGCACACTCCTCTTTAGGGATGGGTACCGAGAACCGGTACTAAGTCAATACCGGTACCTGATTGGACGGTATGGGTATACCGTTAAGCCGCTGGACAAACGGTGCTGCTATCGGTATATGGCCCTTTCTCACTTCTCTTATTTTTCATTTCCTCGCGTCTCGGTCTCACCAGAAGTTGATTTGTCTGCCATCTTGAGTAGCGTCCCAATGGCCTTATTTTTGCCGGAGGACCGAGGAGCTATAATCGAGGAACCACCAGACCATCCTTCGATGAAATCCTCAGACACTCGCCCCGCCCCCTTACTGTGTATCGCTCACTGATTGGACTACATTTATCTTTTTTTTATGTTGACCTTTGGTTTGCCTTTCCATTACATATCTTAGCTGAAAAACACACTCAAAACAGCTGATGTTTACATGCAAAAGTATATTTTAGTGACATTACTGTTCAGTACGTATGATATTCTTCACGATTGTATCACA